AAAACAAACAGGTATAATTCCTATGAGTTTCTACATATCGGTAAAATACATATCACAGTCACAACAACAGCAAAGGACACAGTGCTTTATACCTACAATTAATCACACAACACGAAATAGTACCAACATAGTGCAAAATATAGACCTTGTGATTCTAACAATCAGTATAGCTACTTTTTCTCATACAAATGCGATATCTATCTCTTACAATATCGGCACTATAAGCTCTTTGCATCTTACTATACCGGCACTATAATCACATTAGATTATCAAAGGGTTTGGCACTGTGAGTAGAAGGGGGTAAGGTACTGTGAGGGAGGGTGGGGGGGAAGACACATCATGTAGACCTGATCACTACTTCTAAAATCACACTCTTTATTCCTGTATGTATAAAAAGAGAAAAAGAAAGAAAGAAAGAAAAAAAAAAATCTTATAATTTTCATTTTAGTCAATTTCACCATTTTTCTTTTTTTTTCAGTCATTCTTAGACAAAATTTCCATTCCTGTTCTTCAACTACATTTCCTTTTTAACATCCTTTCTTTATTGTGTTTTCTTTTACTTTTTTTTTTTTATATTTCTTTTTTATTCTCTATTTCCTTCTTCCTCTTGTTTCTCTTTTTTTCTTTTTTAGCTTGTCATTTCCACTGTTGTTCAATATTCATCTTTTTCTCTACTTCTATTTCCTTTCTCTCTTATCACAACCTTTATGCTTCTGTGATCCTTTTAATAATCACTCTTGAGAAAATAATGATCATGGCATTAACAATACCTTAACTTCAAATTATAACAACAATCACAATAACAGTGGTAATCTCATTCAAGAAAGCATGACTATTCTTTCTGTAAAAATCTAGACCTGGGAACGTTCACAGATTGTTACAAAAAAAAAATAAAAATAAAAATAAAAAAAATAAGAAAAATAAATAGAAATAAAAATAAATACATTCCAACTCCTGCACTAAGTCAGGGATATTTACGATCTCTCTTTATAACCATTTACAAAACTACAAGACACTGCTCGGAGTTTTTTTCTGTTTTAATCTAACTATTCTGAAAACTTTTGTCAATTCTTCTTCAGAGTACACAAAAATATCTGAGAGCACTTTTGTAGCATATTAGTTAAAAAAATATCAAAGCCACAATATTAATACCATCAGGTCATTTTGACTTACAGGCATGACAGCATCTCTGATTTTTGTTGAAGATAACTTGGAAGTCCATAATTTTTTGTAGCAATCACTATGATGATGATAAAAATGATAATGACAATAATAATAATGATAATAATGATGATGATGATAATGAAAATAAACAAAATGAAAATAAACAATCAATAATAATATCACCAACATAAATACTAAATACTTCACAATAGACTTGTTACCAAAAACATATTGGTAATAACTTATTACTCCTTTTTTTATCCTAATAATATCACATATTACCATCAAAACTCAATTCCACAATTTTCTAACAACACATAATTATCAGAGATTGAATACAATACTGAAATTTCTTACAGTTTTTGTATCCATAAGCACATATATTTTCCTACAGTATTTTAACTGTCAATTCTGCAATCACATATATGCTAAGAAATTTAATATCACTCTTTTTCAAACACTGCAATGACTCTAATCTAGTATTTGTAAACAGTAATATTCATCATTATTAACTATTAAAAAAAGAAAAAACATTCTCATCTGAAAATAATAATGACTCAAAATACCAAGACATAAAGACAAACAGTACAAGTAATAGGCCTACTAATTATAAGAATAATGATAATATTAAATAAAATAATAACAGTAACTACATCTCTAATCATAATCATAATTGTGACTTTCATTCTAATCACCAGTATAAATGTAATTGTAATCAAAACTATGTGACAATGTTATTGTATTTGTTATAAGAACATTAATTGCAAATGTAATATAATAATATCTATAATAAATAACTGGCTATTAATCTGACCTATAGTGCTGTAGTAATAAAAAAGTATAAATGATTTCATATGACCATAAATCCAGTTTCAAATTATATGAATGTACTACAAATTTCAAACCTGAAAATGAGTTCCTCAGCTGCTAAGAAAGTCAATCAGCCAAGAAAACCAACAAATATTAGCAGTAAAAAGCACTTATCTCCTATGTTTGCCTGAAATAATAAAAATAGTAATAATAATAATAACAATAGGAATAATAATAATAATAACAGTATGCAATGACTGTAATAAAGACATTACAAATTGGGAAGAAAAAAAGGTCGCTATCCCCCCATTCCCTCCCAGCAAATCCTCCTGAGAATTGAAGTGATGATGAAAATGGCAAAGGTGATGATTCTAATGAATGGCACAGATCAAAGTGAGGATTTCCTGATGGCAACGCTTCCTTACACTAATGAATGTTTTGTCTAGTTCCTAAAAGACCTGAAACACATTCCTCTAAGTTACTCCTTAATTGTCTATTATCCGTGTGATTCTCCTCTATATACTTT